TACAGATGAGTCACTACATCAGTTGTTTTATTATTTGTTTTCTCATAACAATGATGATTGCAACCTTTTTTTTCCTGGAGGATAAAATTGAGAGTATTGAGCCCTGACATGCATCAATTCCAATACTGGTTAGGGACACCAACATATATGGTAAATTCTCTTTCTTTTGCAAAATTCATAGTGAAGTTAATGGCTGCAGCTGTGTTCAACAGCTCTCACAATATTACAAAACTCTGCTGTTTCACAAGCAGATAATGTTTAATTCTCAATTACAGAAATTAAAATGTGTTGATTTTTGTGTACAAATTTAAACATCAGTTTTTTCTAATCACGAATAGCTTAAAACCATTTTAAAACAACCTTGCATTCAACCTTTTCATCTTGGCTAATTACATTTTTGAATGAGATTAGTTTTATGTTTTTGGTAGAAATATATTTAATAGAACTTCTACAAGCCATTCCATGACACACACACACACACACACACACACACACACACACACACACACACACATATATATCTATATATCTATATATCTATATCTATATCTATATCTATATCTATATCTATATCTATATCTATCTATCTATCTATCTATCTATCTATCTATCTATCTATCTATCTATCTATACACAGAAAAAGTCCCTGATGTGTGAAGTCTGATTTCCATCACTTGATGAATGTCATCTGTAACCTCAAGCTATATGGAAGCTATTTAATTCAAAAGTTTAAAAGTCTGCCTGGCGTTCACTTTTAGGCTTCCTTTTGGTCTACCTTACAGATAAATGGTATCATTAGACATCCATTTAAAAATAATATAGTAAAGAGCTGATGAAGTGCAGTATTGTAAGAAGTTTGATTGTAGAGTCAAATCTTTGTCTCACATAAGATAAATAGAAAAAATTACCCATTTAAAATAGATAATAGTTTTAATATTTATAAACTAAATCTGTAAATTATACAGTTCTTGGAGGGGATCTAAAATAGGTTAAGGCTGTGAAAAAGCATTTGTTCCCCTTTAGCTTCCCCTCCTTGCATTTTCACAAATTTTTTCCTACTTTTTTAAAATAATATTATTGATATTTTTAGTAAATGTAAAAACTATTACAAATTAAACTACAAGGAAAAAGATAAGTAAAAAAAAATGTTTAGAAGGTGCAGGGGGAAAAATGAGAAAAAAGTAACAGGGTAAAGAAAAAGAAAACATATGGCAATAATAAAGAAGTGGCTTCCAATCTTCATCATACCGAGCATAAACTAATATAGTAAGTTTTTCACTCTCATTTAAAATTACAAATGAAAAAATTCTTCCCATAGCCTAACCTACCTATGTGCAATCCACAAATTGTCATCTTTTCAGTCCTGATTAGGGTTTACCAGAAATATTGAACAAATATCAAATAATGTAGCTTTGTATTCCTCTTTTTGCTCTTCACAATCTTGACCTTTAAACATTCCAATGGCATCACGGGATTTGATATTTCCTCAATTTTTTGACTTTCAAAAGAAGACTTCAAAAGTTTCACCAGCCTACTTTGTAAATCCCATAAAGAGATCTGACTTCATTCAGGATTTCTTCTTGCAGCTGTTCCTTGTCCAGATCCTTTTCTTGGTTTGACTTTTGTAGTCCTATTGTGGTAATCTCAATGTTGTTGTCTTCCATGCTTTCAAATTCTGTGATGTCTGTGTCACGTAAGAGTTGCCTTTTTAAATTTTTTTCATCAAAAAAAGTTAACCATTGAAATCTGTAAAATCTGAAATTTAAGATGTACATGAAATTATATCAATCTTTGTTATGTTCCTAGACTAGCTAATATAAACATTGATTTAATATCCCTCAAAATATTTTAGCAGTTTCCCACCCTGAAATTATTTGCTGCCTGTGATGTAGATTAAAGAGAATATTGACTGGGTTGAATGTAGTTTGAACCATCGTTCTATTCTACTGTGGCAAGGAGGCTAAAGAATTAAGATTTAAAAGCATTTATCTCGGTATGCTCTTGATTCTTGATATTACTGGAATTATCTCAATTTTAGAGCATCTTAAATCTATAGTCCAAAAGGAATAGAAAACCCCTAAACAGTATTTACCTGTGACAATACCATGGTAAACCATTTGAGAAGCTTCTGCAGTAACTAGAGTACCTGAGATTTTTATAGTTCTTACTTACAGTAAAAACAATAATTTTGTTTATTTAATAGATCACACTTTTATCTTGTTCAGCAAAAGGTTCATATGATCTGTTGTGAGTTAGATGTTGTAGATGTTGTATTTAATTATTTAACTGTCACCAGGGAGACACAATTTTTAATTCCCTCTCTCAGCCATACAAATTCACTAGATAACTTTGAGCCAATCATGTACACAGAGTCTCCCTGTGCAACCTATTTTAGTAGGTGGTTGTTATGAGGAAAAATTGTGTGGGGAGAATGGCATATGTTGTTATTTTTAGCACTTGGAGAAAAAGGCAGGATAGAATTATAACAAATAAATATAATGATTCTGATAAAATGTTTAACTACGAAACATGGCACACTGTTCAAGCACTATTTAATGTGATGAGCATTAATCCTGATGTAACTACTCAAAAATTGCAACTTTGGATGGATAAAAATAATAATGACAGCTCAATTGGGCATGGAGATTACATTCTAAAATAATAAATTATTGAGTAACTAATTTAAGAGCACAATAGCCATTCAGATATTAATCAGAACAGGAGTTGATTGATAGCATATGCTACATATGCTGGGCTGGAGCCATATGCCATCAAGATTAGTTGTTTATTGCAGTATTTGGAAGAAGTATTCAAAGCTGCAAGCAGATGTTTTGGCTTGCTTCATTTATTCCCTATACTTGTCATTCTTCCTGCCATAGATTAATATATTGTCCATATCATTTAAAATGTGGCCGTTAACATAGATTCTAGCTTTTTAGCTGAAAAGAAAGCATCAGTTAGCAAATATTTTATTATTTTGCATTTAAATGTTATTAAAACCTTTTTCCAGAGAAATGTTCATTTTATTCTCTTGTAATTACAACATAAGAGTGACTTTAATAAATATTAGACAGACAGTTTTGTTGAGGCTGAAATGATCTACAGTCCACTTTGGCCAGCTACATGAAACATTGAACACTGCCACAAAAACTCCTATGCCCTTTTAAACCAATGTTTTTGTTTGAATCTGTAGATCAGTTACAAATTCACAGAATAGTTTTAGAATACTCTTGTTGATTGGGGAGACCCATTTCACTATGCAGTGCTATGTTGTGTAATAGCTACACAACATGGAAACTTAGCTGTGACAGGAAATTTAACTGTTTGAAGTTTTAACTTACCCGAAAAAGAGCCTTAGGAGCCAGATAAGAAACTCCAGCAGTCCCCCCTCTCCCATGGACACCTGACCGCATTTTGGGCACTCAGCAACATTGCTGCATCTATGGTGGATTGCAATACCCCATGGTGATGTTACATGTTTTACAATGTTTTTATTGAAAACTAGCACTTTCATAGTTTCAGCAAAACTGTGCCATGGCAAACAATGGATTTGCTTAATGAATACTCTAAAAAAATTGTAAAGTCAGGTCGGTCACATGACCAACCAATTTTATGACCATTTTGACTTACAATTGTAATAGGCAGGCTCCATTTTGGTCATAACTCGAGAAGGTACTGTACAGTATTACTGCTGGTCAAGTACTTATTTGAACAACTAGCATAATAGATATAATTTATTACATGGAAGCATCTTGAGAAATTGGGTGTCTCAGATAAACTAAGCTTGATCAAACTGGTCAATTATCACAATATTTATTTGTGACAGTTTCAGCTCCTAGCAAGGTGATTCTCTTCCAAATCAGGGCATTCTGAAAAGTGAAGCACGGTTTCTGAACAGAAATAGTCATTTCTAGGGGTAAAAATCCAGCCTAGGATTGAAATCCATGGGATTTAAGCAGGGGCGTTGATGGAGGACTTTGAATTTGAGGGTGCCAAGCAGCATTTAACCAGATGTAATGTTACGTGTGAATGATCTTGGGAAACAGGAAAGGGATAGTTGGGATAACAGTGAGATAAGAGGTGTCCTAGCCCACCAAAGGTAGCGTTACTCTCACTATTGGAAGATATAAAGTGTAAAAAAGAGACTAAAGAGTTGATAACAAATTTGTTGACCGCAGCAAGGTTAATGATTTCTAGGAACTGGAAGACACGAGGTGATTATAGTTTGGAAGAATGGTATAAGGAAGTATGGGATATTGCCATAAATGATAAACTGACTTGTAATATTAAAGTAAGGAGGGGCATAATGAAAGTAAATGAATTCAATGGAATCTGGAAACAGTTCCTAATATATGTGTTTTCGGGAGGAAGGGGGATACCACTATCAGAAGAAGCTTTAAGATTTTGGAAGCAGGAATGATCCCGAGGGGTGGGGGAGCACTTGTTGATTGTTTGTATTGTGTATATTGTTGTATATTATATATTATGATTTATGTATGTTAATAAAATCATAAAAATAATAATAAAAAAAAACATATTAGCACCAGACAATGAGGATGCTAAATATAGAGGAGAAAATGTCAGTGTCATTTCCTGACTGTGAATTATATGAACAAAAAGAACATTTTTTCTTTGCTGTAACAAAAGCAAAACAAATTGAAATTATTATTATTTTCTGAGCTTGAAATAAATGTGACGACGTAAAAAACAAAAAAAGAGGTGTCCTAGCCCACAGACGGTATCTGGGTGTGGCAAGTGACTCAGAAAGGACCACACCTAGTTTCTTGGGCTACAAATGTGTCAATGGAAAAATTTACATTCAGACTTGCAAGATTCTATTAATGTCACCTTACACTAAAGTAGAATTAGTTCATCTTTGCATACTTTCTATCTGGATTACCTTGCAAGACTATGTAGCCTTATGTTCAGTCTGTCTTTACATTATTCTCTATTTTGACTTGACTAATATCTTTGGGTTTTTTCCCCACATTTCTCCAAAGATCACTGTGTCCACTACTACGATCTTCGGAACACTAAACAGCCCATTATGGTCTTCAAAGGGCACCGCAAAGCTGTTTCATATGCAAAGTTTGTTAGTGGAGAAGAAATTGTTTCTGCGTGAGTATTGTAAAAAGCTTCTACACTTTCTGATTCTTGATGAATTTCAGAAAATTAGTATTTTGCACAGCTTATGAGCGAGATTGTATGCACATACTGTGTGTTTGTGTGAACTGTCAACTTGCACAGCAGATTCTAGTACTTTTATTAGAATAAAAATAGAAAACTGTTTCTCACTTCTTTTGGATCCAGAGTGTCTCATTAGTGGTGAAGAAACTGAGAAAGATATACCAGTAGCTATATAGCTAGTAGGTTTTTTGTTTTGTTTAGTTCTTGTCTGCTCAGCCACACTTTTAGGAGTTGCTGACAATATATTGAAACAAATACTTAGTTCTGTGAAAACTACTCATGTTTCTCTTTAGTATAGTAATCACTGAAGAGGCAATATTTGATTCCATTATTTTTCTGAAAGGTAGATTTTTTACTTGCAGATGTTTTAAGAATTACAGGAGTGCCCTCATGTGGTAACATACAACCTGAGATTTGCTGCATTTGAAGAGTTGAACTTTGGAGGCATAGGCAGCAATCATTTGATCAAATTAAGGAGTAAACAATTAGCAGAAGGCAATTTATGTAATGATTAAACTACATTTGGAATTTAAAAACATTCCAGACTTTAGAAGACTGAAGAGAGGCATATCAGTTTTTATGTACATGAATGGAAGCAATAGGGGATTTTTTTTTCTGTTTTGCCATTGCCTGCTTTCTAGGGCTGAGAGTGACTGGCTAAAGGTCACCCAGCTGATTTGTACTTATGGCAGGAGTAGAATTCATGGCTTCTTAGTTTCTAGCTTGGGGTTTTAACCACTACACCAAGCTGGCCCATAGGGATCAGTGGTGGGTTCCTCCCGGTTCGGCCAAGCAGGTAGCAGTGACAATATGACATCACTGAACCGGTTCTCTTTGTTCGGGAGCTGGGCCCTCCCACCCACCCTACCCCACCCCGTGTTGTTCTTACCTTTTATTTGGCCCCGCCTCCAATCTATTCGCTGCCTCCCAAGTCCCAGCTGATCGGCTAGAAGGAAAAAAACTGTTTAAACTCTTGCCGCGGGGCTTCAAAGGGCCGCCCTACAGCTGATCAGTGTTGAAAGGCAGTGTGGTGGTAGACCAGTGCACTCCAAGAACAAATGGGTAGACCGGTACAGCTCTGCAAGCAGTTAAAAGCCTGGTAGACCACTAAATCCTAAAGAATTGTCACATGACCATCAAACCATGCCCACAAAATAAGCCATGCCCACAAAACCGGTAGTAAAAATTTTTAGAACCCACCCCTGATAGGGATGATAGTTAGGAACTAACTAGAAATAATGGGTACAAGTTGAGCTATCTAGATTTTGCTTAACTGTAAGCAAAAATGCCCTTATGCTCAGATTTGTACAGGTAGTCGTGGTGGTACTGTGGTTAGAATACGGTATTGCAGGCTAATTCTGCAGTTCCAATAGTTTGAGTCTCACCAGCTCAAGGTTGCCTCAGTCTTCCATCCTTCTGAGGTCGGTAAAATGAGGACCCAGATTGTTGGGGGAAATATGCTGACTCTGTAAACCACTTAGAGAGAGCTGGAAAGCACTGTGAAGCGATAATTAATTAAGTCTAAGTACTATTACTATTGCCTTGATTTATGACTATTTGTTTAGCAACTATTCAAAGTTATAGCAGCACTGAAAGAAGGGACTTAACACCAGTCCCTGAAGTTATGGCAGCTATGGCTTCATCCTGCATTGCAACCCCAGAGTTATGGTGTGCCAAGAAAGAGTCAGAACCTACTCCTTCCAGGGCCTCCCTGAACTCATGCTGCACTGCAGCAGGACCCCAACTTGCACACGGCTTACACTGGGCCTCTGAAGGCTTCCTCTTCACTCCTGCAACAGCCTCCATGCTCTCTCTTTAACGACTCCATGTGCATGGAGTTACAAAGGCAACTAGGACTGCTGTGTTTGCTGTCGCTAAGTGATGCGGTCACATGGCATTGTGTTTTATGACCATTTTGTGTAGCGATGGAAATTCCAATCCCAATTGTCATACATTGGGCACTACCTGTATAATAATGGAATAGTGTACCCTGTTTTCCCCAAAATAAGACATCCCCTGATAATAAGCCCAATCGGGCTTTTGAGCGCATGGCAATAAGACCAAGTGCTTATTTCAGGGTTCAAAAAAAATATAAGACAGGGTCTTATTTTCAGGGAAACTAAGTACTATGTACATTTGGGTTCACTAACTCTAGAGATTTTTAAGAAGAGTCTGGTCAGTTGTCTATTGTGGGTGGTTTAATTGGTTTTAGTCATATTAAGGGGGGTTGGTTAATATGGAGAATCCAGTTCTGTGATTCTATATAACAGGTATTCTTTGGATTCATTCCAGTGGCGTAAGCCTCAATGAATTAAATGTAAGAGTAATGTTATGTAAATTTCAGTAAATTTAACATGATTTTACAGGAAAATGTATCTTGGGATTCTCCATGGCTTTTTGTTTTTCCATGAATATATATTGTCTAATAAGTTACAAGGCTATTGGTGCTAAAGCTGACTTCTTTACTTGAAACAAGTATTCCTTACCCCTTCCCAAAGGACTTGAAAGTGTTTTTGCTTGGAAAACAAACCTTTGCAGAACCCAGGGAATGGTTTCTGTTGAATGCAGCTTCCCTCTTTGCTTGCATTGTCCCAGACACAGATGGTACAACAAATCTGTTTTCTGCCTAAATTAAGTTTTACACTGTGTTGATTTGGCCTACCTGGGAGTCTTTCCTAATTTCCAATTTATTTGTAAGTTTGTATCTCTGTCCTCAGGTCAACAGATAGCCAGCTAAAGTTATGGAATGTAGGGAAGCCACATTGTTTGCGTTCTTTTAAGGGTCACATCAATGAGAAGAATTTTGTAGGCTTGGCATCTAATGGAGACTATATTGCCTGTGGTAAGTAAACAGCTGCTTGAGCAAAGAAATTTAAATATACTGTCAAATTTAAGCATTTATCAGTGTCACGTTTATGACAATATATTACAATAAACTGAATACACTATGAAATATCAGCAAAATCATTGAATGGAATCATCCCTTTTCTTGATAAAAAAGAAATTCTTATGTTTAAAAATATGCCTAACATCTGCCTGCCCATCTGTTTTCAAGAAATGTAAAAGAAGGAGATTCAAAACTTTGAGAACATACTTAGAAAATGTTTGTTCATCCCAAATCATTATAGTTCAAACCAAATGGAAAAACTGGGTAATCTCAAACTTCAAAACAACAAGGAAAAGAATTCAATTTTCCAGTCGATAACATAAAGTAACCTATAGTACAATAACATAGCTTACTGTTCTTTTCAGTAGTGAAAAATATCCCCAGTCCTTCAGCGTAATCTCCTTTGGTCTGTACGCTGGACTTTTTATCACTTCTTATCTTCTAAATCCTGTTTGGTATTTCAGAATTCTCCTTGAACTCTAACATCTAAAGTAGGTCATAGAAAATATCTTCTGGCATCTGGAGTCATGCCATTGTGCAAAAAAGTTGCAAATGTTACAACTTCAGATGTATACTTCTTAAATTGTATTAATCATGGTAGCTGCCACCTTCCATTCACTTTCTGAGTATTGAATACTTGGAATGAGTTAGTTTTATCAAATTATACATCTTATACTTAATCTAACTCCTATATTAGAGTTTTCTACTTTAACCAGTAGAAAAGTTTTAGTGGAAAGTTTAGATTGAGCTGGAAGTGACAGAAATAAATATTGTAAATCAACCTGTATTTTTGTTTTTGGTTGTAGGAAGTGAAAATAATTCACTTTACCTGTACTATAAAGGTCTCTCAAAGACACTGCTAACCTTCAAATTTGACACTGTCAAAAGTGTCTTGGACAAAGACCGTAAGGAGGATGACACAAATGAATTTGTCAGTGCTGTATGCTGGAGGGCACTACCAGATGGGGTAAATATTTTGCTAATTTTTTTCTTTTTAACAAGGAGCAAAATAATTTGCAGGCCATTTATTTGGATTAACCCTAGTCTAGTTGTGAACATGTCAGATAAATAGAAGTTTTCATTTTGGATCCTTAAATGACCAAGACTAGGCTTTCTTTAATAACAACTACCCTGTTTTCTCCAAAATAAGACATCCCCTGATAATAAGCCCAATCGGGCTTTTGAGCGTATGGCAATAAGGCCAAGCGCTTATTTCAGGGTTCAAAATAAATATAAGACAGGGTCTTATTTTCAGGGAAACACGGTACTTCTACTTAGAATTACCAGTATAGATAAAGGAATATAAACAGATGTTAAGGGATTATCCAAACAGATATCACTGGACTATTATGCAACAAATATTATCTTTGATCTGTATCGGGCTTTGCTACTTCAGAATTCAGTAGCTTTTCCACAAAGATTGTGTTTAAATTTTTCTTTGTATTGTGGTATTAGTGTATAGATAACTTCTTAGCTACGACCTGGGATCCTTTTACTCCTAACAAACGTAATGCCTCTTATTGCTTTCTCAGCCCAAATAGATGCCTGTTAAGCATCTCTAGCCATTGTAAATGGTTGCCCCTCCACCCAGTCACATGGCTGCATGTCAAGAAGGTCAGCTTTATGATTGGTTGTAATGTTATGTGGTCACATGACCTTGATTCACAGTACTTTTTGTTGGTTTCCAGCAAAAAATGCCGATTGAAATTAGTTTAGTTTAGTTTAGTTTAGTTTAGTTTAGTTTATTTGATTTATATACTGCTCTACTCCTGAAAGACTCAGGGTGGTGAACAGCCACAAGATAAAAACACATAAATACAAAATTTAAAAACAGAATGAAAACCGAATTAAACAATTTGGCTGAAGATAGATTTAAAACACCTCAATAAATTAAAAACGAATTAAAATTTGCGTTTTAAAAAGGGAAAAAAGGGAAAAATTAGGCCAGGCCAGCCTGATGGAATAAAAAGATCTTGAGAGCTCGGCGGAAGGTGCGTAGATCCGGGATCCTCCGTATCTCCGGGGGGGAGCTCATTCCAGATAGTAGGTGCCCCCACAGAGAAGGCTCTCCTCCTGGGGACCGCCAGTCGACATTGTTTGGCCGACGGCACCCAGAGGAGCCCCTCTCTATGAGAGCGTACCGGCTATTGGGAGGCTACTGGTGGCAGCAGGCGGTCCCATGGATAACCAGATCCTAAGCCATGGAGCGCTCTAAAGGTGGTAACAAAGACCTTGAAGCGCACACGGAAGACCACCGGGAGCCAGTTCAGCTCGCGCAGGAGAGGTGTTACATGGGAACACCATGTCACTCCCATAACCATCCGCACGGCCACACTCTGCGCCAGTTGGAGCCTCCGGGTGCTCCTCAAGGGGAGCCCCATGTAGAGAGCGTTGCAGTAGTCCAGGCGGGAAGTGACGAGGGCATGAGTGACCGTGCGTAAAGAGTCCCGATCCAGAAAGGGACGCAACTGGCGAATCAGGCGAACCTGATGAAAAATCCTCCCGGTCACGGCCGTCAAATGCTCTTTTAAAGACAGCCGTGAATCCAGGAGGACGCCCAAGTTGCGAGCCCTCTCTGCGGGGGCCAGCGATTCGCCCCCAATAGTCAGTGATGGCACCAACTGACTATATCGGGACGTCGGAAACCACAGCCACTCGGTCTTGGATGGGTTGAGCCTGAGCCTGTTTCTCCCCATCCAGATCCACACCACCTCCAGGCACCAGGACATCACTTCAAGGGCATTGTTGGGGTGGTCCGGGGTGGAGATGTACAGCTGAGTATCGTCAGCGTACTGATGGTACTTCACCCCGAAACCACGGATGATCTCGCCCAGCGGCTTTACATAAATGTTGAACAGAAGGGGCGAGAGGACCGACCCTTGTGGCACCCCACATATGAGGCACCTCGGGGTCAACCTCTGCCCCCCTGCCAACACAGATTGCAACCGGTCGGAGAGAAAGGAGGAGAACCACTGCAATACAGTGCCCTCCACCCCTAACTCTTCCAACCGGTGCAGCATGATACCATGGTCGATGGTATCAAAAGCCGCTGAGAGATCTAATAGGACCAGGACAGAGGAGCAACCTCTGTCCCGAGCCCTCCAGAGATCATCAACCAACGCGACCAATGCCGTTTCCGTGCTGTACCCAGGTCTGAAGCCCGACTGGAACAGATCCAGATACACCGTTTCATCCAGGTGCTGGGGGAGCTGTCGCGCAACCACACTCTCAACAATCTTCGCCACAAAGCGAAGGTTGTAGACTGGACTATAGTTAGACAACACTGCCGGGTCCAGGGAAGGCTTCTTGAGGAGAGGCCTCACCACCGCCTCTTTCAAGGCGGCGGGGAAATCACCCTCACTCAATGAAGCATTTATAATCCCCTAGAGTCAGCCTCGCGTCACCTCCCGAGAAGCCAGCACTAACCAGGAGGGGCACGGGTCCAACAAACATGTGGTTACGTTCAGTCTACCCAGAATCCTGTCCACGTCGTCAGGAGTCACAGGATCAAACTCATCCCAGATAACATTCTCAAGACCTGCCTCAGTCATCCTCCCTGAAACTACCCAGTCGGAATCCAGACCTTCCCGAATCTGAGTGATTTTGTCATGCAGATACTGTACAAAGTCCTCGGCTCTACCCTCTAAGGGGTCCTCCCGCGCTCCCTGGTGGAGCAAGGAGTGGGTCACCCTAAACAGGGCGGCTGGGCGGTTCTCTGATGCCGCAATAAGAGCAGCAAAATAATTACACTTTGCTGCTTTTATCGCCACTAGGTAATTCTTAATATGAGATTTTACCAGTGTCTGGTCAGAAGGACTGATTCAGAAAGACTGGCCCTCCAACTACTCTCTAGGCGTCTTTTCCGGTGCTTCATCTCCCTTAGCTCCTTGGTGAACCAAGGAGCCAGATGAGATCGGCGCCGGGTCAGAGGCCGCAAAGGCACGACCCAATCCAGAGCTCCAGCGGCCGCCCTGTCCCAGGCGGCCACTAGGTCTCCAGTCGAGGCATGAGCCAGAGCCTCAGGGAATAATGGCCCAAGCTCCATCTGGAACCTATCAGGCTCCATCAGGCGCCTGGGGCAGAACCATCTTACTGGCTCCGCTTCCCTGCGGCGAGGTGCAGCGGTTCGAAGGTCAAGGCGAAGGAGAGAGTGATCCGACCATGACAAGGGCTCGGTGACTATATCCCCTATCTCAAGATCACTCAACCATTGTCCAGAGACAAAAACCAGGTCCAGCGTGTTCTCCCCCCCCCCCCCCGTGTGGGTAGGGCCATGAATTAGCTGGGTCAGGTCCATAGCTGTCATGGAAGCCATGAACTCCTGAGCCACCTCAGACGTCTCACCCACGGACGGCAGGTTGAAATCCCCCATGACCATAAGTCTAGGGATGTCAACCGATGTCAACGCTGCGATAACGTTGAGGAGCTCGGGCAGGGCTGCTGCCACGTGGCAGGGAGCCAGGTACGTGATCAGCAAACCCATCTGTATCCCATGACCCCACTTCACAAGGAGGGACTCACAGCCGGCCGTCTGAGGAATAGTGGCCTCCCTCAGTCTAAGACCTTCTTTAAATTAATGGGTTTAGTTAAAAACCATCACATTCTCTTAACAACTACCATGAAAAAGTACAGAAAATTACTCCCGGTCAACTGGATGCCTCGACTTATGACTGCAGCAATTCCACAGACTCAATTAGGGTCATAAGTCTATAGCAACAGAGCTTATTTGAGTTCATGAAACTTTAGAATTCTATGTTATTACAATTTTTGCCTTGTGCTCTGAATGTCATGTTTTAGTAAGTGGACTGGGGAGGATACTTTGTTTTCTACCCATTTTCTTAGCTTTCTCTGAAATTATTATTTTTCCATTTTCATATGGAATATTGTATCTTCTTTTTGGTTGTGCTAGAAAACAGTCTTTGCAGGTTTATGTTGTTCAGGAAGTATGATGCGTTACTTCAGTGCTTTGTTATTCCTTTTAATTATAGCAACTAGTTTTCTCTTTCAACATCGTTATTCATTTTTGCCTGCATTTTAATGCTGAGGTCCACAGAGTAGAAGCTGGAGGTGAAAACCTTTTCTGTCTGAGTTTCCACATACTGACCTGACCTCATGCTTTGGACAGTGGCTTGGTAGTTTCTGCTGCCACTATTAATCCTTTGGAATGGTTCACCTGGTATGTGAGAGAAATAGAGCTTTCACACTCTTTGCTGCCTTTCTAGCAATTAAAGGTTAAAATGCAAAAGTTGAAATCACTTTTATAGTATCACCTCCATGTCATGTAGCTTAGAGGTATGTTAGCTTGAAATTTCAAACTTTCCCCCCCCAGGGAGTAACAGAAATAACCCAATCATTAAAAAAAGATAAAATGTAATTTCCTAAACTCCATGCTTTAAAAAATATACAAACAATCACTGTAGGGAAAGATAATTATACTGTTGCCCAGATCATGGTAATACAACAACTTTTAAATTAGTAACGAAAGAAAAAAACTAAAGCAAATGTAATTTTCAGTCTGCTGCAAATAAAGAGGTCACAAGAAGTGTCTAAAAAGAGTCTATTAGTGATCCATAATAGTGAAGATGTTCGAAATCTTGGATTCAAGTCTGTCGTCAGGCATGGAAACTTACCATGCCTTTGGGCTAGTTATGCTCTCTCAGTCTTTCCACTTTCCAAACAAAGTATTAGTTCAATTATTCACTATTTTTAAAAAATTTGTAAAGAGTGTTTCTAGAGCCTTTCATAATTGGAAATATGAAAATAATTAAATCAACTGGGACATGCAATCTATTGGAAAATATTGAGAAGATTAACACTCCTCATGCATTGTTTTGGGGAGAAAGTTCCAGGGACACTAGCGAGGTCAAAAGAAGCTAGAAACCCCATCCAAAATTAAGTGCATTAATTTTGCATGCAGGGACAAATCACATGCCACAATCATCATCTTGAATATTTTAATACACATGC